GGCGGCCGGGGAACTGGGGTGTTGGGGAAGGTATTTGCTTATTTTTCCCTTGATCTCTCAGGTGTGAAGTCCCGTTGGGTACCATCTGGTCAGTTCCTTATTTGACCACTAGGAGGATTGGGCGGTGCAGTGGACACTGCTGATTTAAATATGCATATCCTCATCCCTGTCATTGAACTGTTGCTTACTGAGATGAATGACTGGCCTTCCTTCAGAAGGGAAGAAGAAGCTTTATTATCTGTATGTGACAATGGTTGTTGATGATACAGACTGGTGAGAAATTTAAAGATGAGATAAAATTCCATTTTTTGCCTTAGGCAATAGACATTTATTTCTGCAAATTTTAGGGGAAAGAAATTGACAACCATATTCTATTTAACGTGCCATTTCGTGACTCCAGAGATAAAAAAGATTCAAAGTGTGATATTTACTCACTGCTTCAGTCATTGAACTACTTAATTAGAAAGAATGCACACAAACAAAACGTAGACCCCACAGCACTTATCATTAGCTTCAATTCCAACTCATAGTGACCCTACATAATCCCCTGTAAATAGTTAAAATGGATGTTTATACATTTGGAGTTTTTAATTTTAAGGCCTGTTATGCATTTGGAGTTTTTTTGTTTTGTTTTGTTTTGTTTTTAATTAAAGGTCTGAAAAAGAACTGTTTGATATGCAGATATGATAGACGACTGCCTGAAAGCTGGTTCCTTTGCCACTTCCTGTGGAGGCCTGTCTTTGCCATTTGCGGTTTCTTTCTTTTGGTAAGGGGAGGCAGGGTCTGATTACAGGTCTGAGGTCCCTTCCAGCTACACAGATGAGTTACTTGGCATAACTGCAGTGCACGGTACAACTAGTTGTAGCCTCTCATAACTCCTTAGCTGCAATTTTATTTACTTTTATTAGTATTATTGGCACTTCATCCACATGTCATACAATTCAGTAGTTGTCTTATCAAGCAGAGTTGTACAATCGTTACCACATCAATTTTAGAACATTTTTTTTCTTCCTTGTACTCATTGTTATTTGTGTCTGCTGCAGTTTTATATTTATTCCATAGAAGTACAGTTTGAGACAGTAGGAACTGAAAGAAAACATAGAGGGTGGGCAGGTAATTTTCCTGTCTTTGGTAGGAAAAGAACATACTCTTTGAAATCTGTAGGTCTGTTTATTCTCTCTAGCTTTCAAAGAAAGGCTCATAGCTTCTACTACTAATCCATGCCAGACTCAACAATACTTACCGCTGGGCAAGTCTTTCTTAGAGTGTCCTCTTCTGTATCACCAGGGCTCCACTATGTGCTGCACTTCCAGTTTGGGGAGCTTCTCTTTGCCACACAGAGGCTAGATGAGAAGAGGCAGTCGGGTTTTAACAATGACCACCACCCTGGAGCACGCGAGCAGAGTCAGGGCCCAGGTTGATGCTCCCCGATGGGATGCTCCATTAGGACTTAGCAATGCTGGCATAATAGTCCATCTTCCACACTTCCAAACAAGTCATCCACTGTGCTGTCATCACTACATAGAGGCTCTGTTTCCCATCCTGTTTTCATTACAGATGCTAAAGAGTTTTGAGACATTTCCTGTCTCACAGGGATATCATGCCTTTGTCACCTCTAGGTGAAATAACTTCTTGAAAAAACATCTGGAGGCTTCCATGGGTGCAGACTGCAGTATTTGATTTCCTGTGGGAATGTGACATGTGAGCTGCCACACTCTCTGGCTTCCTTTTATTTCCTTTGACAATTCATGGGGATTATGCCTCTGAGCCACCGTACTTCTAACATTGGTTGCCTTGGTTGTGCTTCCTCTCCTTTCCTGTGGCCTTCATCACTAGCATTTCTTTACCAGTTTTCTGGACTTCACAGACAGATTTAGAGTGGAATTCTCTAATCCTCTGAAGGAGTTCCCTCTCACTTAAACTCCTTGGTACCTTGACATTGTGCTACTAGAGAATTTATTCATTTATTTCTTTCAGTCATTAGTTGAATTATTTGCAACTGGTGAATTTTATATGCTTGAGGGCTATTGTATAAAGTCTTTCCATCTCTTAATGATAAACAGTTTCTGAGCAAAATTCTATGTGCTAGCAGTGATCCTTTTTCATTATAGGTCAGCACCTTGCAAGGAGGTAGTAACACATCCAGTCGCGAAACTGGGCAAGGCCAGAGCTCTGGGATCAGGGAAACATGTCCCGCCGGAAACAGACAAATCCAAATAAAGTTCACTGTGAGTATTGGGCTTTGTCTTCTGGAACCTGGGAATGTTGAGGGTTGGAATGAAAAAAT